ACACAACCTCTCATTTCAAGCAAAGTTTGTACTTGCAATTTCATAGTCCACAGTGCTCATACCTGTATTCCATTTCAATGTCAAGTATGTTCTCGTCACGATATGGCTGAAATATTGCCGATGTGACGTTAAATATTAACTCACACACTCATACCGTTATTTGCAGTGCAGGTAAACTCTCCATATCCGTCTCCCAAATAGTTTTACACAGGTTCAGTAATCGTCTTCCAAATTTGAAATCACCACTTATAAGACATCAGCATCATAATAACAGAAACTTGATTTAGTCACGATATGGCTGAAATACTGCCGATGTGACTTAAAATCTGAACTCACTCACTCACTCACTATAATTACAAAAATGTCAGTTAAGGTGTTTTCCTAACTGCCTGTTGCTTCTCCGTGGTAAATTGGTAATACACATAGTTTACAGATGAGAAATACCTAAAACCAAACATTATAGCTGAATCTAAACTAAATTAATCATGATCTAATGAGAGATATATTGCATCCTTAAAGTAATAGATGCAAGGTAATTTATAAAAGAAAATGTCAACGAAGGACAGTAAAACGACTGGACTGTCACAGATATAAATTTTAAAACTAGTAATTATGTTAACCATATATGACAAGACAATATAAACAGGCTATAGATCGCCAACAACTGAAGTTAGATCACCAAACTAGAGACCGTGGGACTTTACAGTGCCTTTGCTGCCTGCATGGAGCCCAGCTGGATTTACACCAACACTTCAGCTCCCGGCGATTGTAGACAAATTTATCCGAAATATAAAACAACAAACATACTTCGTTTAAAACAAGCAATCAAGACACAATATATTGTGGTTACTTGGTTCAACTGATAGGTGTGTATATGAATTGCTTTCCAAGAAGAAGCTGCACTTAAACATGCCTGTTGCAGGCCAGAAGGTTGTTCGTCACACATCGACAGTTCATTCTCTGATCTACACCTCAAACTGTTCGTTGAACGTTAGGTAACACCTACACATTGCGTATTCACCCAAAACGGCCGCCACCCAATCTCATCAGAGCATATAGTGGAACTAAATTATCTGTGCTTTCTACATGTACAGTGAACGCAGAGCGAGTGGCGTAGTTAGATATACAGGTAAGGAGATCATTTTTACCTGTGTCATTGTAATCATTACAGTAAACGCAAGTAAGTAAAACCTTGATGATTTTCACCGTTGACATCCATGGCCTCGGCATAGCTCACAAAGGTCAGACATGTTGTACTGAACTGTAGCAGCTCACAAGCTGATGTTTAAACTGAAATGCGCATGCGCAAGAACACTGTAAAAACAGTTGAAGTGAGTCAAATCAGTGTGGATGAGGCTATATGTTTATAGAGGAGAACAAATCTGGGGCGAATGCAGAGTTTTACATTAGTATATAAACCTGAGAGTGAGTGAGTGAGCGAGTAGTTGTGATATATGTTTAAATCTTCTATTTCTTTTTAGTGAAATGTAATCAGTCGGTTGTTCAAAATTAGCTTTAGTTTTTATTTATGTTCTTTTTTATTTGTTCATTTATCTACTTTTAAATTATTTATTTATATTATTTATATAGTTATGAACTTTGCCTGAGCAATAAATCTGAAACTTAGCGGAGCAAAGTCTAATAGCATGTATTCAATGTTGGATATCTTTAGTTATTTCCGTAACGATAGGTTTTTACAGAATAATCGTTCTCTGTTCAAGACATTCAGATGGTATATGTACCCACTGCCTGACTTTGCGAGCTTAGCCAAAGGACTGTGCTTGACGCGGTCAGTCATGCCCGACCATATAGAACACCCTTTGCTCTCTACGAGGCGTCATTGTGTTATCATGTACTTTCCCACGGAAGCGTAGTAGGGCCACGGTGAACGTATTTTTGGGGGTCACTATCTCCTACGTAGGACTTAATATCTCCTACGTAGGACTTAGTATCTCCTACGTAGGACTTACTATCTCCTACGTAGGACATACTATCTCCTACGTAGGACTTAGTATCTCCTACGTAGGACTTTAGTATCACCTACGTAGGACATATTATCTCCTACGTAGGGCATACTATCTCCTACGTTGTACTTAATATATCCTTTTTAAGGATGGTTATTAAGTTGAGAAATTTTTGGCTAAGCAGGACGTTAGATAGTTGAAATGTGAGTCAGTGAATATTCATGACACTAACGCAGTGTTACTATACAGTGTTATTGTGTGTGTATTACGTTAGGGTGACGTGGACCCTCTTCTAATTGCAGTTATGGAGGTTTGGGTATGGTTATGTTTAATCTATCATACATACATCTATTCACACACACAAACACACACACACACACACAGAGGTGGGTGGGATGGTTTGGGTGAGGTTGTGATATGAAACTCGGGTTATAACACGACCTCCGCAAGTTGTTGTTCGTCTTGATGGGGCTAGGTTGGATTGGATGCAACGCTCGTTTGCGGTTTTATTCGTAATTGTTTACAGGTTGACTTGACTGGGGTGGACAAGTGTTCAGTGCGGCGTAAAACAATACGAAATTCAAAAAGGCAAAGAATTGTCATTATAGTTATTTGTATAAATATAAGGCGATACGTACACATAGATTGCTACCTATAGTCTAAGACACGTCTGTACACGCAGATTATGATTCATGTGCAACGACCTCTGAGATATCCAATGCATAATAGTAAAGTGTAACAAAGTGCAACATTTAACAGTGAACTAACTGCAACGCGTAATAGTAAACTGAACGCAAGGCAGTAAAGTATAACAGTCGGTCCAACACAGTAATGTGCAACAATTAGTTGAACACATGACTCTAATAGTGAAGGAAACACATAACTGTAGACTCTAATAGTGAATGAAACGAATGACTGTAGACTCTCACAGTGACTGAGCCAGTAAAACAGGAGATTGTGTGTGTGTCTGGGGATTTAAGTCGACCGTTTCAGATTAATCTATATAAACGTATATCGATCATCTCCTACAGGAAATATTAAGTACTACGTAGGAGATACTATGTCCTACGTAGGAGATACTAAGTCCTACGTAGGAGATACTATGTCCTACGTAGGAGATACTAAGTCCTACGTAGGAGATACTAAGTCCTACGTATGAGGTACTGTCCTACGTAGGAGATATTAAGTACTACGTAGGAGGTAGTAAGACCGTGGCCCTACTACGCTTCCGTACTTTCCAACACACGCACTGTATTCAAGATTTATATGAATGGAAATGTTTTGTGTCATTGTGTGCTACATCTATTATAATTCGTTATCTATTGAAACTATGACCTCGGGCAAGACACACTCTCGACTATTTTCTGATTTGAGTTATTTTGGGGTGAACGTAAACTGAGTGCGATCGGTCGATCTTTCATGTGCGATGTGTTCACTTCCATCAGCCAGCAACCTTGTAACAACATGCCAGAGGAGATGAGCCATGTGCTAAAATAACACCCAAACATCAAAGCGTACGCCCTGTCCACATCCACAGCTTTATACAAAATCCAAAACTTGACTTCCTGAGTCGACACACACACACACACACACGCACGCACGCACGCACGCACGCACGCACGCACGCACGCACGCACACACACACACACAACCCCTCGGCTGACAGTGTTGACCGACGCAAGGTATAGCTATTCACGTCTTTGATAGACTTACCAGGGTCACATGCCCAAATCGTCAGATGTGCATATAAGGATTTCATTGAGTACGCCTTTCGTTCGTTTAATGAAGGGTTTACTTAAAGATGGCGTTGGCTCACTGGACCCTTTCATTACACCATCACCTTTTTGACCTGTGACGTCATGTATTCATTTGCCTATTAATGAGTTATCATGCATATCAGTTTCCCTCAACCTTCCTTCAACCAAAAGCAGCATTTCAGGACCCTTTCTACACAACAGCATTGTTCCATATTTAGATCTCTCTCTCTCTCTCTTTCTCTCTCTCTCCCTCCTTCTCTCTCTCAAGTCAAAGTCTTTGACATGTAAATTTAATCATTTTTTAATCTAGAAATTATTCTCGTCACGATACTGCAGAAATATTACCAATGTGACGTTAAACATTAACTCACTCACTCACTATTAACCTTCTTTATGGTTAGCGTTCCAACCTTAAGTAATGGAAGTATTTTCCTGAAAAAACACACGGCTCTCTTTTCCGAAAACCGAAATTAGATCTTACAAAACCGTAATTAGATCTTATACTCGTGTTCTGATCCACAAGAAGTGGGACACCCAAGTAGGGATCAACAATTAACATCAAATATAACTTACAATTGGTTACACCTACTTGGCTTGTCAGTCCATTTTTGAAGAGGGCATTATGCGAGGATGTCGCATTATCCATACCAGATATACTCATGAGTATTTATTGAAAAGTAAAGATCCCCCGTTGTGTATTACTTGTGGTGACAGAATAACTGTCAAACATGTCCAGCTTGACTGCACTGATTTTTTCATCACAAGGGATAAATACCTCATGTCAAAACACTGAAGGATCTTTTTCACGTTAATTATCATTTAATTATTGCATTTTTAAAAGAAATTGAATTGTTAGAGAAACTTTGATAAATGGTTTGTAAATAGATAAAACTATTCCATAATTGGTGGTTTAATTGAGCAGCTGAGATTGTGAGTGGCTGTATCCTCAATGTATAATTACTGTCCTCCTGTCGGGGTACGTAAGTCCCAAAACATGACTAAATTAAGCTTACCGAATATTTTAAACGTAGTATCTTTGTGATTTTAAATCATGGCTAAATATGACTACAATCACCAACGGCGGAAGGGATGATGTAAATCCGACCAGGTTTCGTGCAGCTAGCAACAGTACTGCACAAAAGTGCCCATGGTCTCTGGTATGGTGACCTACTTTCAGTTGTTGGCGATCTAAAGCCCATTTATAGTGTGTTGTTCTGTAGAAATATTGTTTTATGATTACATGCTAGTTTTAACTTTACGGAGATTTATATTGTCTACATATATTTTAATCTACGACTTTCCTAGTCACGGTATGGCTGAAATACTGCCGATGAGACTTTAAATTTCACTCACTCATTCAGTCACTTTGATCTTGATCAACATGGAAACGTCTCTTAAATTTATGCTAGGACGCAGTTGGTATCTATCAAGTAATGTTTTCAGAATGCCAGTCAAACAAGCATTGGAATACGATTGGTGGCTGTGTTCTCAGTGCATGTTTAACATGTCCTAAAGATGTATAATATCCTTTATATCGGGTGTTGCAACAGTGTCAAATTTCATATCAATAAATTTTAAAAACAACAACATGCAGAGCTTTTACGGCCTTCCGGAAACATCATTGATGTGCGATGGCGACTCTCTCCACAATGCAGATTTGAACATTCATCTCAAACTAATATATAAGTGGTGATAACGACTGAACATTAGAGATGAGAGTGGCTTATTTATTCATGAATTTAATGCTTTCTCTAGTCTAGAATTTTTCAAATGTATTATTTTCTGGTATCCTCTCTGATATGGGCTCGTGCGCTGACCTCTCCTGAAACTATTTAGCATGATCTAAAATGATAATGAATTAAATGAATTTCTTGTATATGATGAAATTAATTAGTTCCAACATGATATATTTATGAAGGAATTTGTATTTATTTCCCTCAATCCTCCAGTGTTTGGACAGCATAAACCATTATATATTGACACGTTCATGAATGCTTAAGGAGACAAACATCACAGAACTAGCTTAAAGTAATGATATTTCGTGAATACACAAATTTTGTAACACTGTCCCTGACCACAAACCAAAACAGCATGTCCCTTGAGACAGGTGTTATTTAGAGATTGTTCTCCACTTATAGCCCGACAAGAGTTTTATGACATGTAATCATTTAGACTAAACGAAACTTACCTGCAAGTTGGAGGTTGATCTGGAATATCTGAAATAATCATAGGTTGGTTGGATCACGAAACATAGGAGTCATTATGCAACATCGTTAGGCAAAGTAAGACCGAGGAACACAGGAACTAGCTCTGAGGATGTGTGGACACCTTGGTTGTATGTTCACTCTACACTACAAATAACATGAGTATCAAAGCAATTCATAGGCAAGTATGCACATTTTAATTATGGTCGTCGGTAATGCGCGATATCAACATTCCAGCATGTGCTCAAGACGCACAATACTCTGTTCAACTGACAGGTGTGTTGATGACTTGTTTTCTCAAAGGTGGGTACACCTCAACCGGCTTGTAACAAGCGTCCTCCACTTTATAAGAGTTGTAACCTGTGCGTTGCACCTGTACACAACATACCGAGCGAGTGGCGAAGACAGATATGCAGGTTACGAAACATAATGATTGCTTACCTGGGTACGATGTAATCATTGATTGTGGAAATGTTGGACACTGACTCAGTAATCATTTACAACATCTATGCTATGAAACTGTCGTGTAGTAGACGGACTGAACTGATTCATATTTGCTACACAGCTAGTCTATGCATATCTTCGTCGAAATATGTATCTCATGAAAGAAGTTTAACACACCCGATAATGTTACGATCAAAGAATCCTATATACAGTCATCGTTAGACATGGTTTAGTAAGTGGAGGCGGTGGGGTAGCCTAGTTGTAAACGTTCTCGCTTGTGACGGCGAAGGCCAGGGTTCGATTCCCCACATGCGTACAATGTAGGAAGCCCATTTCTGGTGTCCCCCGCTTGAAGAATGGTAAAAGCGGCGTAGGACTATACTCACTCACTCACTGGTGTGGAATTTAAAAGTGTGGAATTTAAGATGGCTTTGGAATACAGTCATCAGATGTGCTGTTTCGTTCATAAGAAGAGACAGACATCTGATCTGGATAAAAATGACCTACATTAAGGTTCAGGTTTTAGTTTCTTTGTCTGTATGACAAAACTCCACGCGGTTGAATCTCAAAAAGGATGATTTCAACTTTCCAACAATCACCTGACGCTCAGAGATTAACTCACAAGCTGTGGTATGTAATACCCTTTTCATCCACAAATCGATATACTACTCTGGCTCAGACGTTTTGCTCAGAGATTAACTCACAAGCTGTGGTATGTAATATCCTTTTCATCCACAAATCGATATACTACTCTGGCTCAGATGTTTTGCTCAGAGATTAACTCACAAGCTGTGGTATATAATACCCTTTTTATCCACAAATCGATATACTACTCTGGCTCAGACGTTTTGCTCAGAGATTAACTCACAAGCTGTGGTATGTAATATCCTTCGCATCCACAAATCGATATACTACTCTGGCTCAGACGTTTTGCTCAGAGATTAACTCACAAGCTGTGGTATGTAATACCCTTTTCATCCACAAATCGATATACTACTCTGGCTCAGACGTTTTGCTCAGAGATTAACTCACAAGCTGTGGTATGTAATATCCTTCTCATCCACAAATCGATATACTACTCTGGCTCAGACGTTTTGCTCAGAGACTAACTCACAAGCTGTGGTATGTAATATCCATATTATTTACAAATCGATATACTACTCTGGCTCAGACGTTTTGCTCAGAGACTAACTCACAAGCTGTGGTACGTAATATCCATATCATTTACAAATCGATATACTACTCTGGCTCAGACGTTTTGCTCAGAGATTAACTCACAAGCTGTGGTACGTAATATCCATACAATTTACAAATCGATATACTACTCTGGCTCAGACGTTTTGCTCAGAGATTAACTCACAAGCTGTGGTATGTAATACCCTTCTCATACACAAATCGATATACTACTCTGGCTCAGACGTTTTGCTCAGAGATTAACTCACAAGCTGTGGTACGTAATACCCTTTTTATCCACAAATCGATATACTACTCTGGCTCAGACGTTTTGCTCAGAGATTAACTCACAAGCTGTGGTACGTAATATCCATATCATTTACAAATCGATATACTACTCTGGCTCAGACGTTTTGCTCAGAGATTAACTCACAAGCTGTGGTATGTAATACCCTTTTCATCCACAAATCGATATACTACTCTGGCTCAGACGTTTTGCTCAGAGATTAACTCACAAGCTGTGGTTTGTAATACCCTTCTCATCCACAAATCGATATACTACTCTGGCTCAGACGTTTTGCTCAGAGATTAACTCACAAGCTGTGGTATGTAATACCCTTTTCATCCACAAATCGATATACTACTCTGGCTCAGACGTTTTGCTCAGAGATTAACTCACAAGCTGTGGTATGTAATATCCATCTCATCCACAAATCGATATACTACTCTGGCTCAGACGTTTTGCTCAGAGACTAACTCACAAGCTGTGGTATGTAATATCCATATTATTTACAAATCGATATACTACTCTGGCTCAGACGTTTTGCTCAGAGATTAACTCACAAGCTGTGGTATGTAATACCCTTCTCATACACAAATCGATATACTACTCTGGCTCAGACGTTTTGCTCAGAGATTAACTCACAAGCTGTGGTACGTAATACCCTTTTCATCCACAAATCGAAATACTACTCTGGCTCAGACGTTTTGCTCAGAGGTTAACTCACAAGCTGTGGTATGTAATACCCTTTTCATCCACAAATCGATATACTTCTCTGGCACAGACGTTTTGCTCAGAGATTAACTCACAAGCTGTTGTATGTTATACCCTTTTTATCCACAAATCGATATACTACTCTGGCTCAGACGTTTTGCTCAGAGATTAACTCACAAGCTGTGGTACGTAATATCCATACAATTTACAAATCGATATACTACTCTGGCTCAGACGTTTTGCTCAGAGATTAACTCACAAGCTGTGATACGTAATATCCATACAATTTACAAATCGATATACTACTCTGGCTCAGACGTTTTGCTCAGAGATTAACTCACAAGCTGTGGTATGTAATACCCTTCTCACACACAAATCGATATACTACTCTGGCTCAGACGTTTTGCTCAGAGATTAACTCACAAGCTGTGGTATGTAATACCCTTTTCATCCACAAATCGATATACTACTCTGGCTCAGACGTTTTGCTCAGAGATTAACTCACAAGCTGTGGTATGTAATACCCTTTTCATCCACAAATCGATATACTACTCTGGCTCAGACGTTTTGCTCAGAGATTAACTCACAAGCTGTGGTATGTAATATCCATCTCATCCACAAATCGATATACTACTCTGGCTCAGACGTTTTGCTCAGAGATTAACTCACAAGCTGTGGTATGTAATACCCTTTTTATCCACAAATCGATATACTACTCTGACAGACGTTTTGCTCAGAGATTAACTCACAAGCTGTGGTACGTAATATCCATATCATTTACAAATCGATATACTACTCTGGCTCAGACGTTTTGCTCAGAGATTAACTCACAAGCTGTGGTATGTAATATCCATATCATTTACAAATCGATATACTACTCTGGCTCAGACGTTTTGCTCAGAGATTAACTCACAAGCTGTGGTATGTAATATCCATTTCATCCACAAATCGATATACTACTCTGGCTCAGACGTTTTGCTCAGAGATTAACTCACAAGCTGTGGTATGTAATAACCTCTTTATCCACAAATCGATATACTACTCTGGCTCAGACGTTTTGCTCAGAGATTAACTCACAAGCTGTGGTATGTAATATCCATCTCATCCACAAATCGATATACTACTCTGGCTCAGACGTTTTGCTCAGAGATTAACTCACAAGCTGTGGTATGTAATACCCTTTATCCACAAATCGATATACTACTCTGGCTCAGACGTTTTGCTCAGAGATTAACTCACAAGCTGTGGTACGTAATATCCATCTCATCCACAAATCGATATACTACTCTGGCTCAGACGTTTTGCTCAGAGATTAACTCACAAGCTGTGGTATGTAATATCCATATCATTTACAAATCGATATACTACTCTGGCTCAGACGTTTTGCTCAGAGATTAACTCACAAGCTGTGGTATGTAATACCCTTTTCATCCACAAATCGATATACTACTCTGGCTCAGACGTTTTGCTCAGAGATTAACTCACAAGCTGTGGTATGTAATACTCTTTTCATCCACAAATCGATATACTACTCTGGCTCAGACGTTTTGCTCAGAGATTAACTCACAAGCTGTGGTA